GAGCAGCCACTCCATGCCATCCTCCTGCATTCTTCAAGAACATATATCAAGATGACCCCTTTGGAATCTTGTCGAAGAGTTGTCATAACCTTGTGAGCTGACCTCCCTGGCTTGAATTTAACTGGTGAAGAAATTCCCTTTGAAGCCGCTGTTTTGCTGGAAACTTGTTCTCTGTATCATATCAGGAACTCCAAGATTAGATCTTGCCTAAAAGACTGATGAAAAGATCTTTGTGTAACGCCTTTTTAAAATACCTTTTCTCTCCCCATGAAGTCACTCTAATGAAATGAAAACAAGCATATTACTGAGAGATCTCTTTGGCAACCACACATTGATTACAGAGGCATGTTGAAACAAGTTTTGTTTGGAAAGACCCATCCATGTATAAACAGGAACCTAGCAACATTTTTTTTTTAACTTACTCTTACATCATGTCCAGGAGGAGACCTGGTGGTGTAGTGAGCTGTGGATTAGCCTTCTAACCTCAAGGTCAGTTACACTTTGGGGAAAAAAGCTGTGGCTTTCTCCCATGCAGGAGTGGTTTGTGGTTTTGGAAACACACAGGGAAGTTCTAAAAAGGTTTTCTAGGGTCACTATGAATCAAAATTGACTTAGCAGCAATGAGTTTGGTGCTTTGGATTTGAACGTGTAATGCTTCCAAACTTTCAAAGACAAAGGTTGGATTTACAAAAGCACTGATCATGGAAGGCAAGAAAAATGGAAACTAAAAAATAGCTATTCTACTTTTTTGAACATCAACTTACCACAGAGTTGTCAGAACAAATCCCAATCATAATCATGAAAATCTGTAAACAGAAATGTACTCTTTTTCTATTATTAATTAGGATATAATTAACTACTATGTGTATCTTAACTGATGAACATATTTTATAAAGAAAAAAGATCTTACTGCAAATGTTAAAATACCTAAAGAGATTACAGCAATACCGGCTTTCTGTTTTAACTCAGCCAGATAGTATGGAAAATGTCACATAATAATTACTTCTTCCAGCTTTCTTTATCTTATTCCTTATGTAGTGTTGTGTCTGACAGTATTTGGGAAATGCTATTCTAAATAAGAACATTCTAATAAGCTAGTATGTGAAAAGGACAAAGAAACTGGTAGACATTTACACCAGACCAGTTTTATCTGAGGGCTGAGGATGCCCCTCTATTATTATGAGATTCCATAAAGATTCCAGCATGTGTCTTCTCCTTATTAATTAAATAATAGGTCCTGACACCAGTGTTAGATATTGGCATAATTCCTAGCTTCACAAATAATGTACAGACCAGAGCATGATGTACATCTTCATTAACAAAATCGGGGCATGGTATTCAATAAACTTGCCCAATCAGTCGTTCAGTGTCTGTCAACTTCAATTGAACCAAAGCAATTGCTAGTTAAGTAGTAAATTGTTTTATATTGGCAGGGAGCTTAATGATGACCATGCCAAAAGTCTTAATTAAACATCAAATAGCACTATTATTTATGTGAGCTTTTAAAATATAACTATGGTTTCAGATAAGTAGCACAATTAATCTTCTTGAAGTTCGTAAAATGTACAGCTAAAC